GAGACAGAGAAAAGCCATGCATTTAGATGCATCGTTACATGGAATTGTCTAGATTTGCCAAAGATTCACCATGCCTTTCCCTCTGCCTCTGCGCAGGACTGTTTCCAACCTGAGTAGGAAGACTCCCAGAGAAGGGAGAGGGGAATCTTTCCTGTTTTCAAAATTTCCGGAGGAAATCCTTTAGCAGAGCATGAAGAGTCTCAACACTAGCAACAGACTCAGCATTTGAAATGAACAACAAAAGCGATACGGCCACGTGGAATAGATGTGATTCTTTGACAGTGGGTTTGATCTTGCCCCAGTTTGCCCTCACTTAAATTTAAACCCAACAGCTTTGGAATGCAATTTTAAAATTCTGAGCAATGACAAATGTCTCACACATTACCTTTTGTGTTTTCCTGGCCAAGCTGTTGCCTGCAGTTATTTCCTAATATAAGAATTCATTTTTGTTCTTCTTCTTAATGGGGAGTTACCCAGAGGCTTGATTTTGGCCATAGGTGGAGGTGTGGAGGCTCCATTTCTACCTAAGGAGAGCGGGGTTCCCTGTCACCTCCATTTGGCCAATTTCAGGGTTAAATAGCAGGTATGCACGTCATCCAGAGATGGCCGGACTCCCTCTGGGCAGCCTATTTTCACCCTTGCCCTCCTTGAAACAGGTCACAGTTCACAGCACTTACATGCATCCCCTAAAATAACCGACTCTAAGCACATTAGTGAGAAACAGATGTTGCACTGGAGACCAGGGTGCCCACGGACACCTGCGTGTCCCCACACCCCACGCCCCACAGCTGCCCTCCCCAGCAGCTTCTTTCTCTTCACCTGCCTCTATCTCTCAGTCTCTGTCCTCATTTATAAGATGAACTCCCCTGCCGCCACCCTGTTCCTCAAGCTCCCCCAGGTGCCACCTTCCTTCTGTTCCCCTCTCCCCATCTTGCCGCCACCTCAACACCCTGAGTAGTTCATCAACGTATTTCCCCAACAAACCAGACCTGCTCCTAAGGGGCATTCTGCTGCAAATGAGTTTTAGTTCCCATCCTCTTTTGCCAACAGGCCATATGCTGTCAGTTAGTGCTCACTAAGCCCAATAATAACTCTGTGAGGGCCGTCAGGATTCCAGAGTATTGAAAAGGTAACAGGGAGAGGCTTATACAAATTCAGACTCACCCTCCCTAAAACCCCACCCCAGATCCATCGGACCCCCTGGCCAGTGCCCTTACCCATCCCACAATGCTGCAATGCAAAAGCGGGGGGCAGGGAAACATAACAGGGGACGCTGTGGATGGGCCTGTGTCTGGGGCTGCTCCCTCCACACTCCCGGCAGCACCCGTTCCCATGTTGAAGCAGCTCCTGCAAAGCCATCTACAAATCCCTTTTGACTGGGAAAGCTGTCTTCTCCTGGGCCATCCTGCCCACAGATGAAATGCAAGCGATTTCATTATTCTGTTGCTTACAGAGGTTAAGGGGCTTGCTAAGGCCACATAGCTGTTCAATGCTACTGACACTGGGATTTATAAGCCTAGCAGCAATTAACATCCAGGTGACACTATGAGACACTATGCCATTATGCCTCTCTAAAGGAAGCCTAGTCCTAGGTTATGTTTAGATGGAGAAAAGGGGCATTTCCTTCCCTTCCAAAATGACCACAGAAAGCCAACACTATCTAAGCAGGGATTAGCAGTTCTACCTCTGATTAGGTAGAGTGACCTACACGGGGGTGAAAGTGCAGGGTGCGGGAAGCCCTTCTCCCCGCCTCTCTCCTAACATTCCCCTGACTGCTCCAGGGAGGGCTTACAAATATGACTGGTGACTGGGCCATATTTATTAGGGGTCATTAAAACCCCTAATAGGTTGCATATGTGTTCAACATCATGCGCATTTCCACTTCCGGCTCCATGCTGTCTGCCAGGCCCACTCCTGTTTCTGCGCAGGCCCAGCAGACGCCTTTGCTCTGTCTCAGGCTCGGCAGCCAGTTGGTGGTGAGATCTGGATGTCAAGAGGTAGATGACAAACCTAAGCCATGAGCTACAACCTTGCTGTTCCAAAGATATTTGAAATAGCCAACACAAGATAGTATATTGATTTCTATATTGCTGTTTGCTCCTTGTGCATTTAGCTCCAGCACGGAGTTAACAGGAGAGGGTGGTTGGCAATGCAGGATATGGCCATTCCTTGGGCCCTGGTTGTGATACTAATTTAATATAATCAAAACCAAGGGAGGCCGTATAATCTACAATCCACCCAGGACACTTCTGGGAGTGAAAGAGAATGCTGTTCATTATTCCAGGACAATAATCCCCTGTAAAACGGGATGCACGGTCACCCTGTCAAAACTGGCCGAACCTACCCTGGGTCTTAATCCACCACCTTTGATCACATGGACACTTTCTCATGTAATAAGTGGATAAGAAAACCTAAGTCCAATAGCAGTAGATAATTATGAAAACCAGCACTGGAATACTCAGGTTCTAAAAGAATTAAGATGAAAAAGACAGGAGGCACACCTATTTAAAAGTCCCTATGTTCTGCCCAGGCCTACAAAACCACCTCATTTGTGGAAAGCGTTCCAGAATCACAGAGCACACCCACGGCACGCTCTCACTCAGTGAGCCTGGGAGGCAGGAAATAGGTTCAGCATCTTGACTAAGGCTGAGTGGCAGAGGCAGGACTCAAGTCACTCAAGCCCGGGGTCTGGGCTAGCCCAGTGTTCTCTCCCTGATCACACCATGTCCCCTCATGGCATCTGCCCTGAATGGGCCACGAGTTTGTGTTCTGTACTGAGAACACCTGGGGGAGAAGAGGATAATATGCAATGAGGCCCTTGGGAGATTGTGGACCAACCAGAGTATCTGTTGCCTGAGTCAAAATTATCTGCAAAGCAAGTCACCAGCACTGCACACATTCAAAACAGAAGTCTAGATCTGTGACCATTTATTTTCAAAACCATCATGGGCTTGGTAAAATACTGCCTAATCTCAACATGGATTTCTAAAGAATTTTCTAGAAGTCTATTATATATAAATTAAAATCAAAGGATTAAAATCCAACATTTAAAATAGTGGCTCTTAACAGGGGGATAGCACATGCCCTCAAGGGGGCATTTGGAAATGCACATGGTCATTTGGGTTGTGACTGGTGGGCGAGTCACCTCTTTTACCTCTGCCTCCTCTCTCAGTCAATAAATTTTAGTGACACAGAAGACCAAAGGTGACAGGGACCATAGATGGTGACTTCCAATTCACACACAAGCCTATCATTTGTGGGACTACTGGGTTTCGGAGGACTAGCCCATGGCTAACTGGAGGACAACACAGCACCTGCTACCCTCCTAGGCCACAGCCAGCAGAACACCTGGCAGTTCTGTAGATCTGCAAATGGCATTTCAGGGAAATGGGACCTTGGCGTGTTCATCCAGAACATCATGTCCCTATTCAAAACAGTCTGCTCTGACGAAGTCCACACAGCACTATACTGTGCCTACATGAAAGGGATTTGGAAACTATATGGCTAACTTAGTCCTTTCTCTCCCTAGCCTATGAAACTCATTTTTTCCTTCAGGTATTCAAATAATTTAGGTAAAAGCAGGGTTAGGGAAGCACACGTAATCCCACTACATACAATCTAAATCAAAAAGTTTCAGAAGATCTAAAAGAATAACTTGATTCAAACTTTTCCTGGTTTGATAGAAGGACTGATGTTTCCAAGAAGAAATTCCCAGACTGCCAAAGACGGGGGTGATCGTGGAGCCAAACTCACCGAGCTGATTCATGTTGCCAGGAGGATCCGATGAGAATAATGCAGGATTCAGAGAACATGGTTTTCACTGCTGTGATTCTAAGAATGTCTCAGTTTTGTCCAAATCACCAACATCCCTTTGGCTTTAACTATCCAACTGGACACTATGATACGGCATCCTTTGTTGGGGTTACTTTAAATGGGGACCTGTATGTCAGGTTTGACTCAAATGTGCATAGTAAGGAGGGGACGTCCTCAAGGCCTAAAGTAAACCACTCCCCTCTCTCCCCTCAGCTGAATGGATGATATTCCATCTTAGAAATCCATTTGCAATCAATGCATGTGGGTCTTTAATTCTCAGCACAGCACTGAAGAAGTCTTTTGCAGACAATTAGTAATTGGCAGTGATCCACAGAGGAATGAGTTATTTGTGCCTTTAACGTTACATATGGAAAATAAAGCATATCAGTGACCATTCATAGGGGTGCTGAGGATATGGGAGATTGGGCACCAAGAAGTTGGTGACACCTGGGAAAAGGAGCTAGAACTCAGGGAAGGAATGAGGACAAGAAGAAAGAAAATAAGGGCTTTACACTTTTCTTATTTAGGAAAGGAAACATCACTCAGAGAAATAGGAAAGTAGACTTAAGTAGATGGAAAGATTGGGAAATGAGGGAAGAAGTGTTTTAATACATCCAAACTTTCTCGTTTGGAGACCTGCAAGTATAGAATAATGAATGGCACAATCCTAACTACTGGTGGTACATTTCCCAATTTTGGGTTTTCTTTTTTAAGGTTTGCTGATATGGCAGAGGCTGTGCCGACAGAGGACCCTTACTTCATGAGAGCACCACCATACTCACTGCTTGAAACCGGCATGCAGGGAAACTGAGCTCCCCTTCCCGCTCTGTTTAAGGAAAACCACTCGTATACAGAGCCAAAGTAATGTGGTGATTAAACGGCTTCACTGAAGAGAAATGGGTCAGTCCTTACCTGTGATTTTCCTAACCCAGCTATTTTCCGTAGGAAGCAAATGCTATTGGCTCATTCAGTGTAAGCTGTGATTGCTGTTAGACAAAGGACTCCTGGGAAGGGTTGAGAAATTCACCATTAACCATGCCATGGTTCCAAATGAGATGCTAATCACTTCACAAGGGCTGCAATCCTCACCAATATCAGGTCAAGATGAAATCTACTTTCCAGAAACTTCAAAGCATGTGCATAATATACTGAGATCAAAAAGACCACAAAGAAATAATGACACCAAACAGAAAATAACAATGACTCTTTATAAACTTGTATGGGGTCTAAATTATCCCTTGTAATATGTATGTGTGTACTCATTCCCAGAGAATTAGGTGATGTACTTCCGAGTAACCTGCTGGGACTGTCTCCAGAGCTTCTGAATGGCCTCCTCCAGCTTATTCCGTCAGAACTCCCAGCACCATGGCGAGACCAGCTCTCTCAGATTCCCCACATCCACGACCTATATCATGTCCAGCTGTAAATAAGAATAACATATTTAGGAAGGAACTAGGCCAACTTTGGAAGACTGCTTCTCTGGTAAGAGAGGGTTTAATGAAAATGGTTCTCTACATTGGTAGGCATGCACAGATTTGCACACTCAAGCGCTGCTCACTATTTTAGGAGTTAAATACCAAGTACCTCCTCATTTCAGTACTAAGAACTTCTCCACAAAAAGGCTGAAAGAATAGTGTGCAGTTTTTGGACAGTTGTCATGTGAGTCTTAAAGGTAGGAAGTTTCCAAACTTGGAAGATGGATACAGAAGCCAACATTTACACAGCTTCTCAGATATTCACAACATAGTAAAATGAGGTTCAGAATGAAATCCTCAAATGCCATTTATCAGTGTCCTTTGTTTACACTGAGTTAATTGAGAACATTTAGGAGGTAGGCTTTTTAAAGGCTGTTTTTGTCAACCCACACAAATTACATGTTGTATTGCTTATTTTTGGTTAAAAGTAATTTTAGTGAATTACAATATTTTGTTACTAAAGGATTAGCCTCCCTAGCTCTTTTTTAGTCTTTCAAAGGAGAGGATTAATCTGAATGAAAAATATAACTGAAATGGAACACAGGAATTTCTATCATGAAATTACCTGATTAAATTTATAATGGCAATAAATAATAGTGGAGGGAGCTTCTGGTGTGTAGAAATTAAAACACAAATAAGCAACAAGTCTATGATAAGCAGCCTTTGTGGCTTATTTACAGCTCAGGTGATTTCGATCATTAGAATACCTGGTTTACATTAAAAGTACTTACTAAATCGTCCACGTCACCACCTTCTTCAAATACGGCTGCTGCATTTTCATTTGGTTTTTCTTTGGAAGCCAGAAACTGTGAATACAAAGTCGGTTATTTTTTGCCTCTTTTGATGGAGGAATAGCTGCTAGCATTGCCAAAGGCAAACAAACCTAAGAAGGTCTGAAACATCATCTTGGCCTACTCTCCTTCACATGGCTCTGAATGAGATGTCCAATTTTGAGGTTCAATACTAACAGTCACCAGAGAAAGTTCTTGTGCAGGGGGAGGAAGTGACATGGCTCGTCAAGACAGTGACTGTGTGGAAGGTCCCATAACAGCATGGTGGGTGTCTGATATTTCCATTCCTGCTTCCGCAAGGACCTGTTAAAGTTAAGAAAATAACCAAACATCCCAAACCAGTGTGCTCTTTTGAAAGGAGTGTAAGAATCAAGTCAAGATTAGAATCATCTATTTTTGAACTCTCCTGAGGACAAAAAAGTGTAAAGAAAGGACTTCCTGTAAGAACTGAGAAATGCAAAAATGGGTGAGCTTGGGAGGTCATTTAATTCCTTTTATGAAAATCTTTCAATTTGTGTTAGAAATTGTTTGAGAATAAGTGGATGAGAAATGGGTGAAAAAACAATAGCTCAGCATCAGTGTTCTAGATCTGGAGCTTCCAAAAGGCAGAGACATAGAAAAGCAAAGACCTTGAAGTAAAGTCTGGGAGGATCTAGGAAGGGCAATCTGATTTTAAAGGGGTGGTGAATGCCCTTGCAAATTATCTGAACACTCTTTTTAAATCCTGTCCCTCCAAGAGATAACAGCAGGGAGTCTTTTCCTTCAAGGCATGTGGCAAGTGCATCTAAGAGCTAGGTTCTAGGTTCTAGCAATGCCTACCTATCCTAGTATGGGAAGGCGGTCTTCTGGACATGCTGTAGGAGTGAGTGTTGTAAAGGGGGTGGTGGCAGGTGGGGCACGCCTCTCTCTGGTGGCATTCCTCAGGGCCACGTGCGGGGAGTGGGAAAGTGGCGAGCCAGCCTTCCAGCTCACCGCTGCTCTCCTGTTGCTGCCTCCACCCAAGAGGGAAAAGTATAGTTTATACTTCTCTCATTTTCTCAACAGGAAAAAATGGCAAGAACTGCTTTCCTTCTACATTCTCGGCATTTTTATGGTACAATGGATGTAATCAAGGCCTCTGAAATCTAAGACCTATAAATAAACTAAAATATGTCTCGTTAATAAATCATAAACCAAAGTCACCTGTTAAATATTAGGCTGTGTGAAACAAGTTTCAGGAAGCAATGTCTGCCTGTCCTTTCATTCCTCAGGTACAGAAACTCAGACACAGGTAACGAAATGGCAACAGCAGAGGCCACATCTGCCCAACTGGGCACTGCCTTCGTCAGCACCTCGAGCATGGCTTGCTGACTTAACCTCTCTTCTGGACTTAGTTCCCCCCTCAGTCAAAACCACCTCACTATTCATTAACTTCCATTTTGACAGAGTGAATAAGGAATTTATTTTCTTGTAAGGATATTTATGGATCTTTCCATAGCCCTTTGTTGACCCTAAACTGGACCATGTGCAGGGCTGGAAGTCAGTGGTACAAGAGACGGAAAATCCCAGCCATGGGGGCAGACGGCTTGGGGCAGAATTGTAATGAAGTTCTGTATCACTGATTCTATTTCTTTACTCAGGGTGATTATTAATAAAGATATCTGAGGGCCAAATACAGATAAACGGATAAGAAATCCATACGTTTACTGACATATGGTTTATGTCTAAAAGTTCAGCAAATTGTGCTCTACCCTAGATTCTCAAATCAATCTTTATTTGGGGTTTTCCCAATTATTATCGTAATTTTTACTTTGTACCTCTCCTCTCCCACTCATTCTCATGATCCCTGCATGATTTTCCCTATATCTATCAGGAGTATATGGCTACAGGATAAACTTATCTAGTTGGGGTGAAGAGAATAAAAAGTAGAGCTGTATCCTGCCATAAACCTCTGTGGGGCCACAAATGACCAGCACCTTCCAAACAGATGACAAACTCCTGTACATCTTTTATTATCCCTTAATTAGCTATTTATTGATGAATCTAGAAAAATCCCTGATGTTTTTTGGCACTGAGCCTCTAAAAGCTCCAATTCCCACTCCCTCCCCACCTGCAAAGCCCTTTCGCAATGCAATTAAAGGATAAATTAAGATAGGGCCGTATGCACAGTATGACCATGGTATATATAATTAAACACAAATGGCACATCTGTGAGGCAAGGCCAAATTCCTATGAAGAGAGGAACAGAAGCAAAAACCCCTTCATTTCCATCACATGCTAAACATCTGCAACTGCTTTTCCTGACAGATTTGCTTCACATTTCTGTGTAAGCAAATTATGGCTAAAAGCTGGGCTGCCATCCATTATCCTTCCCAGAGCCCCAGGCAAGGCTGATCTCTTGCACATATCACTCCTCATCATCAGAGTTTTTAACTGCAAGTAATTCCAGGCTGTGCAGAGGCAGGGAAGCTAGAGACACAGCAGAGAACTCAATGATTGGCCTGCTTTCTCAACAAAAGCAACGGATTCTCTGAACGCAGCAGAAAGGGGTAGGAGTCAACTCTCATCTTTTCTCTTGTTCTTTCTCTCTGCAATATGCTGAAAAAATAGAGAATAAATAGAAAGGACATTGTGTGACACAGTCTTTCTTCCTTAAGCCACCGTCACTTACTTGGGGTTACCACAAAAGAGCCTCCTTACCTGGAGGTCTTTATAAAATGGATAATCTATTACTTTTCAAGTACACAGAAATACAATCCTGGCCACAAGCAGAGAAATGGAATCAATAGCCTCTGTGTAGAAACTGCCAGTCCCATCCCTCCATAAGCCTAAGAACTAACAATCAGCTCATGCTCAGACCCTTACCAATCCCCAAATTAAAAACACACGGTGTTCATCAGGCTGACGCAACACCATCAGGTGATTCCAAACAGTTATCCACAATCCAGCATGTATAAAAAAGCATCAGAAAGAACAAAAGTCAGTTTTCATGTGTTTTGCCTAAAATGACACACACTTGCATTTCATGAATGCTACCTACAGCTTTTTTCATGCTATAAAGGCAACAGGGTGCAGCAGAGAAATCCTGCAGCCCAGTGTGGAAAACACAACCATAACCTTAGCTCTGTCAGTTTCTCAGGCACCCTGGGCGAGCCACCTGAGCTTTTTACAACTAATTTTCCTCAAAAATAAAATGGGAACACTACTACTTACCCTACTTATAAGACTGTGGTGAGTTTCACATAAAATAAAGTACACAAAATTTCTTCATGATAGTATAAGTTTTTGTTTTAATACCTAGTATTTACCCAATATATGTCCACCAAATGATATGTACAAGATTATCCACAGCACCTTTATTCATAACTGCCGAAGTTTGGAAACAGGCAAATGTCTGTCATTAAGAGAATAGACGAATAAATTGTGGTATAAATATACAGTCATAATAAAGGATGAGTAACTAAAACATGGATGAATCACAAAGGCATGATCCCGGTTATGTGAAGGTCAAAAACAGGCAAACTAACTCTCAAGTGACAGAAGTCAGAATAATGGTTACCTCAGGGGACAGGGGAGTTCTGATTGGAAAGATACCAAGGGGGCCTTCCAGGGTGGTGGAAATGTTCTATTATTTTGACCTGGGCAGTGAGTTCCGAGGTATATAGATGTGTAAGAAGTCATCAGGTTGCACGTTTAAGCTGTGTGCATTTACTGTATGCATGTTCCACCTCAATAAAAAGTTCAAGCTCTAAACAAAATTATTGCTGTTCTTGTATTAACATATAAAAAAACTATACCAGAGATTTAGGCAGAAAAGAGCAAAGGTCCAACAGGAGCCAGCAGTTTTAGAATACTGTTCTCAAGAAATGATCCTTAAACGTTTTATAATCCTTCCCGAGGCTTTGGAGATCTCTTACACACTCACACACACAAAAATGAGTGTACTCTTGAAAGAGGGAGTGTGAATTTCTTTCCTCTAGGTAGACGTGGCTGATGGCATTATAAGGCAGAGGCGTGGAGAGGTGGCACCATGGGGTGGTGGACAGGTGACTGTGGTGGGAGTCCAGGGGTCTGGATTCTAGTCAGTTCTGCCAGCCACTAACTTGGTGTGAGACACGGAGCTAGTCAACTTCACCTCTTTAGATGGAGTAGGTAAAATGACCAGATCTCTAAGCTCTGAGCATCTGTGATGCTAAGGTGGAAAATCAATAAATGTCAACAACAATAAGAAGGATAGATTAGGCAGTTACAAGGAAAACAAGTACTAAAATGATGATTTTTTTTTCCATACAGCTTGTATCAAATGATTATTTAGACATAGCTCAGCCTCTTGGAATCCCGTGAAAAACAACATTCCAAAGCCACAGGGATAAATCCTCTTTCCCTGCTGTGTTCTCAACACAGAGTAAAAAGAATGGGAGACCGAGAATCAGTTCCAGAACTGGATTCTTGGCCAGTGACTTACTGTGAGATCTCAGACACATCACTTTCCCTCTGTTACCCATCACAGGGCCACACTGCATGAATTAACATAGACGAAGGGCACACAAGGGCTCTACACTGACTTTACCAAACATCTCATGCTAATGGCACATCTAACAACCCAAATAGAAATAGCATAAGTTAAATGAAAGAATTGACAGGTTATAATGATAATAAAAATGAGTATAAAAGAGGGGCAATATTTATGCGTAGGTTTCAAAATGAAATGAGAGGTACCAGGAAACTTAAAAGAAAGTGACTATCTAAACTTATGTCATGGGATAACGTTCTATTTCTAAAGTAGGGCTGACTTACCTCTATTTCTCATAAAATCCACTTATTCCTAAAACACACTGGAAGGAAATGGCTGTCCTTAAGATGGCTGTGCAAGTGTGAAGTTATAATCTAATTTTCATTTATTTTTTATTTTATAGTATTATGGGGTACAAAATTTTTTGGTTACATGAATTGCTTTTGTAATGCTTGAGTCAAGGTTAAGTGTGCCCACCCCGATAGTGTTCATTGTATCCATTAGATAGGTTTTCGTCCATCTCTCTTCCCCCTCCCCCCTGCTTAATTTCCATTGAGTTTTACTTCCCTCTGTGCACATATGTGCTCATCAGTTACAACTTGCTATGGTCTGAAAGTTTGTTTCTTTCCAAAATTCATATGTTGAAATACTACCCCCAAGGTGATTAAGAGGTGGGACCTTTGGCATATGATTGATTAGGTCGTGAGGGCAAAGCTTCATGTGTAGGATTAGTGTCCTTATAAAAGGTCTGAGGGAGCTTCAGCTTGTTGCCCCTCTACCATGTGAGAATGTAGTGGGAAATCTCCAACTCTGAGGAATAGGCCCTCACTGGACATTGAATCTGCCAGTGCCTTGATCTTGGATTTCCTAGCCTCCAAAACTGTGAGAAGTAAATGTTGTTTATAAGCCATCCAGTTTCCGGTATTTTTGTTATAGCAGCCCAAATGGCCTAAGACATACCTCAGTAACAAAAAGATAACCCAATTTAAAATGGGCAAATGATTTGAATAAATACTTTTCCAAAGAAGATATACAAATGGCCAATAAGCACTTGAAAAGGTGCTCAGCAT